CGGTGCCGGCGTCAACGGGAAAGTTCAGGGCATTTCGAGTGTGGATCTTCCAAGTGATCGCAGAATTCCAACACAATATACAGAATGAACTTTCTGCGATGCTTCACATTTTTTTACAGTAAGAGTAAATAGGTCACTCTAGCCGGACGCTCCTGAACGTATGCTACAAATTTTTGCAGTGATTGTTAGTTCAAGTCGTTTTGAGCAAACTTTTATCTTCATACAGTATGAACAACGTGCGTATATACAGAACAGATTAAGTGAATTCGTAATAAAATCTTCGTATATGTTTCGTTGAATGTATTCATTGTCGAACTAGAGACTGCTTGTAAATGGTCGAGCCCAACAAAGCAGTAGCGTAGCGATGCTCTAGACCATATGCTTCCCGGTTCGTAGCCAACGGGAGGTCAGCTAGACAGCACTTTCAATTTGATATTTGCTTTCGAGTCGATTTCGAATGTTCGTACAGATCATGTTGAGCGGATTGGCTGGCGAGTTTTCCATTTCAAGCACATGAGTTAGGATTGCGAACGCTGAAATTATTATCATCATGATGCGATAAACGTGCTTGCAAAGCCAAATCCAAGGCCATAGATATTTCAGAAATGGTAAGTTTTTAAGTTGGAAGCGCAAAAAGTCTTATGAAACTGCCCAATTCAATGTTTAACCAGGGTCATTTATCGTTGTAAAGTTATAAACAAGAGGAGGGGAGATCGTCCCCGATTACTTATGAAGGTAGGTCTGGGGGAAAGGATGACATTTTCAAAGCAAACCGGAATGTTGTAGATTTTTGGGATATTGGAATTCAGGGAATTAGTGAAATACAGGGTGGTCCAAAATTATGAGGACCAAGACATTGTGTCGTTAAAAACGCATAGTAGCTTGATGGAACAAACAAACTTCAGGGGGTGTTTGTAACTCTTATCTCAAAGTAATTCCAGAATAGAATTGAGATCTGCCACCTGCCCGTTTACACGAGCCTTCAGATGAAGGGGGATGGCGCGTGCGGTGGCACGCAACTGAGGCGTGTCAAAATGTTTCCAGGCCTTCTGCTCTGCTTTCTTCAGGAATCAAAGTTTTGTGGGGCATTTATTTGCCTTGCCTCCAGGGTGTAAAATACAGAAATCTAGAGCTATAGGTGGAAGGTTCCCATTGTAACAATTCTTCGAAAGCAACGAACTCAAAAAATTGCTTTTTGGAGAGAATTTTTGCTTTATTCTTGGGTGCTCGGTCCTGTAAGAAGTTCTAAGTAGACTACTCGTGTGGCTTTCTATCCACTACAGATGTGGAGTCTTTAGAGTGTCTGGCTGGGTTTTCACATCAATTTTTTCATTTTGGGAGTACGAAAGTCGACAAGGGGAGACCTAGTTTCTGCATCTGATAATTATCCTGGTGGTAACTGTAACTTTCGAGTCCCCGAATTTTCCATCTGTGGTGGTTCCAAACTTATTGAAGAGTTGAACTGTTGCCCATAAAGCTTCCCTGATAGGTTAGACTGCTGCTAGATGTAACGTGCCAGAGCCCTAGTGAGTTCAATTTGAGGACTGACGTAAGTGATGTTGTTATTTCACTAGTTTTGAGAACTGCATGAAATTTGGTTTTATTAGGAAGAAGACATTATATTCTTCCACATAAAGCATAAAGGATAAAGCATTTGCCGTTGATCAATCCCTTTTTGGGATGCGGCACGCATTCTACTTCCATTTGTACATTCGCAGTGGCATTTGAATGCGATGTGGCCTATACAATGACTTGCGGGGCCAGCCGATGTACAAGTCAGTGTTTTTTATCCTCCCAGACAAGTCTGGTACCAATTAACCGACCCCGGAGGGATGGAAGGCTTGGTTGGCCCGGGCGACTCGACCCAGGATTTGATCCCCGGACCGCTCGCGTGGTAAGCGCGCCACTTGTCACGCCCTTCATTCTGATTCCACATAGTAGCACAGAAAAGGAGAAGAAAATGTAGCGACTCGAAAAAAAGAGATGTGACCGCGCGCGAACGCGGTTCTCATAATTTTGGCCCACCCTGTAATTAGAATTTTGAAATTCTGCTGTTCCCACAGTTACGTGTACCTTTCAGTCGACGCCCTTTTCGAGTAATGGGAGCAGAGTTTCGAAGCGTGTGTCAGGGTGATTTAGGTTATACAGCACTACGTACATTATGGACCATTGGGAGGGGAGGGGGTTGGAGGGGGTTGCAATCGTGTTAGAGAGGTTATTCGAAGAAAGAAAGGGTTGAACAATACGAAAGTATCCACGATGCGACGGACTCTGAACACTTCGCTGTCAGAATGGAACCTATATGCCGTCTTTGCGTCCCACACTAAGGCATACATTTTTGCCAACCAGTCTTGTCTATTATGAAGGAAATTCATGAAATATATAAAAATGAATATATGTACTGCAAACAAATAATTAAACGATTAATATAAAAAGTAGTAGATATAACAAACAAACACAAAATCTTCATATTCATATTCATATTCACTTTATTCATATTTATGCTTTTCAGAAAAAAAAGGAATAAAATTGATACGTGCAATGCTTACCTTGATTGACGTACAACGCTTTCAGCCCGACACCAGTGGCAGCCAGAGTTCCAATGCAAACGGCTGCCTTAAAAAAATCTTTTCGGAACTGGGACACTACTTGTGTAAGAGGCTATAAGGAAACTAACCTTGTAACGAATTCTCCTACAGTAATCCGAGTGCAAGCTGTCGGTTACCGTAAGCATTTCAAGTAGCACCGGGACGGCGCCTTGTGACACGAGCGCCTCCTCATAACGTCGAGCGGCCAGTCGAGACAACACAGTCACAATCTGAAACATGTATTTTATATGAGAAGGACCTAGGTTATGGAAAAAGAGCTACCTGTTCCTGCACGAATATCGTCGAGCACTCTTGTCGGTTGTAGGCGTTGATCAGTCGTATAATCGCATTCCGCCTGAAAAACGTTCGAACAGTGCTTGCAAGAACTGAATACGATAGTCGTACCTATACAAAATGTCGATAGCAGTCGGATCCTGCAGCGAAACGTTTGCCAAAGCAGCCGACACCAACAGAAGAGTTTCTCCAGTGGTGCATTCGTCGATGAGGTCTTGAAAAGGGGTCATCAAAATGACGCAAAAAAGGAAGAGCAGAAAGGAACTCACCAAGCAGTCTAGCGAGAATCGGCTCGACGTTTTGAAGTTGGACATAGGAATGTTGTGGGTTTGTGAGTTGGGTAAGGACACCAGCGGCCTCGATCGACGAACCGACGTGGCTGCCGGTAAGGTGAGACAGCACCACTTCGAGGCCTCCCAGCTGAAAACGAGAATTTTTCATCAAAAGTCTACCTTGGACCTTAGCTCGACTGGTCAGTTCCAAGTCAAGGCAACTCGAAGCACCCCGAAAATAGCAAAGAGAAACGAAAAAAGGCACACAGCTACGGGTGAAATACACTGGTGTGCAAAACTTAGAGGACGAACGTAGCTTTTCCAACGACGTGTTACTGGCGCGTAACATAACTCTATGGAACCTAACCACACATACAAAGAGCTGCCACAGGGCACTAAAGAAAGCAGTTAACAGGAACCGTTAAACGGTCCACAAAGCTATCAATAAGTTATGTTACTTCATTTGAATCGCTCATGTTTCGCACACCAGTAGTGTATTACAATATATCGAGAAATATTTAAGTAAGTGAGGTTTCCTTGATCGTCTGGGATTCCAAACGAATCCATCAAAACGGGTTTGTTCGACAGCAAGCTTCAACTTTTCCGTCTTGTCCTGCTTTCTGGGCCAAGGACCAGGATCTTGTGAAAGAATTCTTCATAGGCGTGAGTGGGGAAATCACCTTTTTTGTACTCACAAGGGAAGTTTCCATCAGTTTAAATCACCAGTAATTCACTGAACAGCCCCAGCATGCAGCCTGTTTTGCTTCTGTTGCTTTGCATCTTTTGTCTTTCTTTTGTTTTTATTCTCACTTTTTTATTTTTGCATCCGTTTCCTCAGCTTTTTTTCTTTATTCTTATTCTATTCCAGTGTTTTTTGTTGCTCCTTCTGGTTTCTATGGCAGACCGGATGTAATCGAGCAAATAAAAATAAATAAATAAACAAATAGAAGCGAGCATAAGCTGGCGGAATGATGTGGTTTCCTTTTTGTCTCATCGCGGCTCACCTAGGACTCAAGTCCTAGACCAAGGCACACAGATTGTCAAAGCAGTAAGATAAGAGTGAAGTTTGTGATCATTGGCTCCTCAAGGGACGTCGTTTAAAAGACTCGTCTTTTCATACGCAGGGGATCAGTTGAAACTTAAGGCGCCTGGGACGATATAGGAAACAGCTCTCAACTGGATCGTTGATGCGATGGTGATGCATCAAACTTCGTCGGCTCAGCTGGCATTCATCAGTCGGCAAGGTCTACGACAAGAAAAGCCTACTCAGCTTTGCTTCAAACAGCTGTTTCAATGTTTCCAATCAAGACATCTAAAAGGTTCGACTGCTTCCGGAGATGAGGGCATTTTGGTATCTGAAGATGATATAACTAATGGTAAGTTGGTGTTGATATTTTTCTGAGTAGTAGAATATGAGAATTGTCTGGAACCTTGGTAGTGTTTGGTGCTCCTTGGCTTCTGACCGGGTTTCACCCTTGCAGCCCCCGGTTTCATGCTTTTCAGCTTTTGAAATATTTCGGAATTTGCAGCTTGCTCCCGTCGGGCCCATGGCTTTTGAGCTGGTGGGCGTGTGCACCAAGAATCCTTTGATCCAATCTCTAGTATAATAATCCACCCACTTGTTCATACTGATCTCACAATATGTGGGTACATTCTCCAGATCCTTTTCGGAAAAAATGGTCATACAAGGAATGCACGTCATAGAGATTGCCACGGAGACTATACAGCGCAGGGAGGGTTTGTAGGAAGATCTGGTAAGGTGACAAAAATCGACGTATGCATAGAGAGTATAAAACTTTATAGAACGTTGTCTTGTGACACGAATTTTGAGATTCAACGTTGGTATAGATTTTTGTAGAAATGCTGCTAACTAACGCCAACGCGAACAGAGCAAGCTTTTGAACAGCGCGAGGACGGGCGAGCGCGCTTCGAAGAACAGTGATTCGTGTCTCCAGGAGGCGTTGACGTTTGTCGGACGAATTGCGGAATGTAATGCACAATCTGAAAGCTCACAGTAGCTTTCAGTGCAGTGTGTCTCGACCACAGCTTCTGTGCGAATTAATGAAGTATAAAGGAAGAGAAAGCACAATTTTTTTCTTGAGAAAGAAGTAAAGCAAGCTAGTGATAAGGCGTACGGCTTTGGTCAATCCCTTTCTGGTACATTTGGATGTTCATCGAATTTGTTGCTGTTAGCTTTTTTCTTATCGAAAGAATTTTTGTCAAACTATCCCTATTCTGTATATTTATTATGTAATATGTCATCATCGCTCAGCAATAATGCATTCAAATTCGTATGTGGCTTTTGAATAAGATTCTGATTACATGATGGGCGGGTGTGTGGGGCGCGAGCTGATAGTCGACAGCCAGTGGTTTCTCCTTCCTCCCGCCAGTAAAGAAGGCTTCACAATGTTGTGGAACATAGGATGAGACCTCGGCAGTTATAGGGTCAAGAATGCTGGTCACAATGGGATCAAAAGTGCTATGTACAAGTTGTAGCGGTTAGAACTGTCAACTAGTGCAAAGTCAGTGTATGAGGGGAGGTAATCTAGCAACTCTGATTTTCTTCGGAATTTCATCTACATGTAGAGATAAGCAGGGACCTATAAGCAGACCTGATCATGAGTATAGCACCTAGTCTTAAACCAGGGTCAGCTGGCTCTAGTTTGGCGCCACAACGTACTTTTTCGCAGCCTTTTGCCAACTTTGATGGTTCACAGCTTGCTTGAAAAGCATACGAAGCAGATTTGCTCCCCGTGTTTGTAATTATTATTCTTGACCCTTTGGGTTTACCTGAGTCTACCTTCTAAGTACCGTAGGAAGTTCAGAGGATAAGTTTAGGTCACACAAATGTAACACCAACTAATCGACTCTAAAGGAGTGGGTGCATGGTCTACAGAGTACGATCGGCATTTGCTCAATCTAAGATCGATAGAAAGCTTTCTAGGCCGGCCGGTGTTCGATCCGGGATTTGGTCCACAACCCGTGCGCGTGGTAAGAATCTGTCATCAGTCACGACACCACTTCCGCCCATAAGGTAAAACATGCCGTAAAATTTCTTGCATGCCAGTGAGAACATTAAACACATTATCACCGATGCAATGCCAGGAATGCTGAGCCAATTTCTTGTTTCATCGTTCAGAAAAAGTCGTTCTGACCATAAGTCATATTTTAGGATGTGGTTTTTGGACAGCTTGAACGCTAAGCTTTCAGTGCTTCCGACTGAATATCTCTGGGGTATAACCCATTACGACTGGCGACATAAAAACAGATGTGAATGCCGAAAAGGATGACGATCTGTCAACAAGTCAAACTTCCCAATGGGAATAATTAAGAGGGTTTTGGCGTTTCTGTGAGTTTTAATTTTTGAACTGGAAGTGGGGGATTTGTAATCTTAGAACTAGCCGATGTACAAGTCAGTGTTTGCACTCTTTAGGACAAGTCTGTTGCTCATTAGCCAATCTTAGAGAGATAGAAAGCTAAATTGATCCGAGTGTGATCTTACTTGGATATGGCAG